GGGCCGGGGTGGAGCTGAAGTGTCCCAAGGGATGTTATTCCAATTCCATGTGACGCCTGTTCTGTCCAAAGACTTCTTTTTTGTGGACAGAGAGCCACTCCCACACTCAGAAAAGCCAGCAGAAGACTTTGCTCCACTCACAGAGGTACCTGTGCTCAAACCAGTGCTGTTGCTGGTGTAGCAAATCCCTGCAATGCCTGTTGCTGTGGCACCTGAGCTGAATTTAGAGGTTGTTTGACGTTGCTCCATGTCCTGTTTCACGAGTCCTTCCCCACTGAATTGTCCATTCCAGGCCATGGAGAGGGAGGTCTCTGCTGCCTTTGGCAAAGGGGAGCCTGGTGAGATCCTGAGCAGTGCCTTCAAGCTCAAGGTCACTCGTGAGGACATCTGCACCCTGCAGCAGCTGTGCTGGCTCAACGACGAGGTAAGAGGAGCTGCAGCACAGGGATGGTCTAACCCAGCACTTCTGGAGGAGCAGCCCTTCTCTGGGTGCTTATGGCTCTGCTGTTTCTGAGGTTCCTTTCCTGGGTTTGTGCAGCTCCCAGGGGTCAGGCTGGGTTGCTGGAGTGGGTGCAGGTGCTTTTATCCAACAGCACAAGTCACCAAGGGCAACATTCCCAGAGCCAAAGCTGCCAGCTGGGCTTGTCTCAGTTGGGTACTCAAGGGTGGCCAGCAAAGACATGTTGGTGCCTTTTTCATTTGCCAAGTTACTGCCTTGTCTTACATCTCAACTTTCCTCTCTCTGGCCCAGGTCATTAATTTCTACATGAACCTCCTGGTGGAAAGAAGTAAGAAGGAAGGCTATCCAGCACTCCATGCTTTTAGTACCTTCTTCTACCCCAAACTGTGTTCTGGAGGCTACAAAGCAGTGAGGAGGTGGACCAGAGGTGTGGATCTCTTCAAGCAGGATCTCATCCTGGTGCCCATTCACCTCAGAGTGCACTGGACACTGCTGGTGAGTCAAACTGGCCTTTTATTTAGGGGATGGGAGGAACAAAACTAGCAAGAAAAGTCCTTTAGGGTGTGCTTTGTCCAACATTCACCTTTTAATCCCAGGTCATAGATGTCAGAAAGAAAACTATCAAATACTTTGACTCCTTGGGACAGAAAGGAGACAACATTTGTAAAACTCTGCTGTGAGTAGCTACTTTTTTATCCTTTTGATTGTCATGAGGCCTTTTTCCTTCCTCACTTGGACTGGTCCTGCCCTGGCACAGGCTGCTCCTCACTTTGTCCCTCTTCTGTTCTGCTCAGTGTTTTAAATCACCTGGACTGTAACTGGGGCAGGTTTTCATGTGTTCTGGGCATCCTTACATGTCTTTGCCAGTAAAAATCCTTAATCCACCAGCTTTTTAGAGCGAGAGCAGCCCCACAGAGACAAACCACAGAATCCCAGAATCCCTGAGGTTGGAAAAGCCCTCCTAGCCCATGGAGTCCCCTCTGTGCCCCATCCCCACCTTGTCCCCCAGCCCAGAGCACTCAGTGCCATGGCCAGGCCTTCCTGGGACACCTCCAGAGGTTCGGACTCCAAACCTCCCTGGGCAGCCCCTGCCAAGGCCTGACAGCCCTTTCCAGGAAGAAATTCCTCCTCATGTCCAACCTGAGCCTCCCCTGGCACAGCCTGAGGCCGTTCCCTCTCCTCCTGTCCCTTGTTCCCTGGGAGCAGAGCCCGACCCCCCCCGGCTCCCCCCTCCTGTCAGGGACTTGCAGAGCCAGAAGGTCCCCCCTGAGCCTCCTTTGCTCCAGGCTGAGCCCCCCCAGCTCCCTCAGCTGCTCCTGCTGCTCCAGCCCCTTCCCAGCTCCGTTCCCTTCCCTGCACACGCTCCAGCCCCTCCGGGTCCTTCCTGAACTGAAGGGCCCAGAACTGGACACAGCCCTGGAGGGGCCTCAGCGGTGCCAGCACAGGGGGACAATCCCTGCCCTTGTCCTGTGCCCACTCTGGGTGTGGCACGGCCCAGGTGCCCTTGGCCTCCTGCCCACCTGGGCACTCCTGGGCTCCTGTCCAGCCGCCGTCACCAGCACTCCCAGGGCCTTTCCCAGCTTTCCAGCCCCTCCACCCCAGCCTGGAGCTTTCCAGGGAGTTGTTGTGACCCAAGGGCAGGACCTGGCACTCGGCCCTGTTGACCCTCACACCGTTGCCCTCAGCCCATGGATCCAGCCTGTCCTGATCCCCCTGCAGAGCCTTCCTGCCCTCAGCAGATCCACATCCCACCCAGCCTGGTGTCATCTGCAAACTGACTGAGGGTGCCCTTGATCCCTTCATCCAGATGATGGATAAAGATATTAAACAGGACTGGCCAATACTGAGCCTTGGGGAACCCCACTTGCAGCCTCTCACCGTGCCTCTAAATTTAAGATTGGGATTTTTCCTCCACATTCCTTAAATCTGCTGCTGTGAGGATCCTCTGACATTTCACTGCCACTCATCTTCCTGTCACTCTTCGGCAGCTTTTTTTTTGTTGCCCTAACTGGGGAGATGAAAAGTGATTTTGTGTTGTTTTAAACAGACAATACCTGCAAGAGGAAAGCAGGGAAAAAAGAAAGCTGGAATTGACTGCTTCTGAGTGGACTCTTCGCAGCCTGAGCCCAGAGGTACATGAGCAATGCCTGGATTTGGGATGTGAGAGAGGGTATAACACTTTCCAAGGAAGCAAAAGGTTTTACTTGGGACTATTCCTTGGGTTTGGGAGCAGGAAATGGGTTCTGGAAAAAGGTTTTCAGTTGTTGTTGGTGTGGGTAATGTGTGCTATGAACAAATTGCTGCTCTTTTAAGGCAGATAAAAATTCTCCATCTTTTTTGTGTTCCTCAGGAAATCCCTCAACAAACTAATGGAAGTGACTGCGGGGTTTTTGTTTGCAAATTTGCTGATTCCATCTCCAGAGACAAACCCATCACCTTCACACAGGTGAGGGAAGTGAGGAACAGCTCCAGCCTTTCCCACATGGATGCAAGAGCCGGGGCATGTTCCTCATGTCTGGTGTCTGTTTCTTGGCAAGATCGTGGAATCATGGAATCCCGGAGTGGTTTGGGTTGGAAGGGACCTTAAAACCCATCTTGTTCCAACCACAGGATGCTGCAGCCAGTGGTTTCTAATATGTGGCCTTTGTATCTCTTGGAAAACAGGTTTCCCCCTTGGAGCAGTTCAGACACTGGTTATTTTCCAGCGTGGTGGCCTTTAATAAACATCCTTTAGAGCAAATGTGGCTTTGTTGGGTGGTTGTGTCACCCTCGTGTGAAACCCACCTTGTACCCAAATGGCAGGTGCTGACAGCTCTGAAGAGCAACTTCCATTCAAGAATTCCCTGGGTGTTTATGGAGATTTTCTGCCTCTTTCTCCCCTGTTAAATGGATTTTTCCCTTTCCTTTCCAGGAGCATATGCCTTACTTCCGCCGGAAGATGGTGTGGGAAATAATTCATCAGCAGCTGCTGTGAGACATGCACTGTTAGCAAAACACTGTTCTGTAAAAAAAGAGAGGTATTTATTTCTTACTGTTAAGATAAATATTTAATTTATGTAAGAGCCTTATTGTAAGGGAACTTTACTTGTTAATAAATTAGAGTAATTTATTTTTTAATTGAAAACCGGTTTGGTGTCTCCATGTGGTTTTTTAACTTGCTCACAATTCCTGAGGAAGAGGAGGGGGTGTCTCCTCTCCTGGGCTCTGGGGGATATCCCTGTTGTGTTCCTTGCCCGGAGATCTTCTCTCGTGGAAGAGCAGAGGGGCTTTTTCCACCTTTTCTTTCACACTGGTTGCCTCAGTCTGCCACAAACTCAGATTCTCCAAAGGGAGAGCGATTCCAAAGGTGATTGGTTGTGTTTTGTCCTTACAAATAATTCATTGGGCATAATTATCTTCCCTAAGGACACAGAAGATCCAAGCTCTGAATGTTTTAGGTGTCCTTTCCCCTTCCCTTCTGTTCTCCCTGTTCAGGGCTGCAGGTTTGAGGATGAATTGTTCCTTTTTTGGGGGCAAACACAAAAGGATGCCTGCAGAGGTGTTTGGGGTGGGGGCTTGGTGCTCTGAGGTGTTTTGGGGTGACACCAGTGCCTGCCCTTTCCAAGACAGTGTCCCTGGTGCTGGAAGGGTGGGAGGGAAGAGCCCAGAGGGGGGTTCTCTCACTGTGGCCCCCTCAGCCCAGCCAGCCCTACCCCTGCCACCCAGGGACATCCCAGCCCCATCTGGAACCTTTCCCTGTTATATATTCCACCGTTCTGGCTTTGCCAAGGATGTGCAGGGATGCAGAGATGGTTCCATGATGGCAACTCCCACATGGCAATGCCTACACCCACCCCCCTCCCCAAAATCCCACTGCACCCACCCCTTCCCTCCCCACCTGCTGGGAAATGGGACATCCACGGGGGAACCCCCACCGGTGCCCAACATGAGGGATCCCAAAGAAATCACGGAGAGCAGGCTCAGGCTCTGGTTAGCTGGATATATTTCTCTTTTTTTCTGTCGGTGTCTGGGGTTGGTTTTCACACAACACTTTGCAGCAGAGGAAAACACGGATTCGCAGCCCCCGGCACCTCGGCTCCCATCCCTCCTCCTGCCTGGTGCTTCCGCTGCTTCCACCCGTCGCTTGGATTTGCTTAAACGCTTTTTTTTAATTTACTTTTTATGTTTGGCTTTTTCTTTTTTCCCTTTTTGTTTTTTCCTTTTGAACCATTTCTCAAGGTTTCTCCAAAGGAACGGCCACTGGCTCTCAGCTTGCAGGAGAGCATGGAAGAGCTCTGGGACACGGTGGGGGGGTGGGTGGTTTCCTTCTCCCACCTCCCAGCTGACTTGGTCGAGATAATTTTTCCAACTCAGTTTTTTTTTATTACAAAAATAAAAAAAAAATGCTCCAACTCTCAGTTTTACAAGGCATACAAAAATCTCTAAAAGGGCAACAAGCGCAAGGTGCTGAGGTACGAAAACCTGAGGTAGTTTTTGTGTGTGTGTGTGTGTGTGTGTGTGTGTGTGTGTGTGTGTTGGGGGGATCGTTGGGGATATTTTCAATTTTAAAAATATTTTTAAAAAATTTTTCAAAAAATTATTTTTAATTTTGCTGGTTGGTTTTTCCAGCCCCTGGACTGGCAACCTCTTTTGTAAATCCACTTTTTTTTCCTCCAACCTCCCTCTCCTCTCCCTGCAACATTTCCCTAAAATCCCAGCCCAAAGCGGGCAGGGCTGGTGCTGCCCATAGTTTTTCAGGGATGTCAGTGCTGGGCAGTGATGGAGAGAGGAAGAGGACAGACAGAAAGGGGGGACAGAAGGGATACAACCCCCACTTTTGTGAAGCAAAGAGGAAAGGGTGGGTGAAGGAGAGATTCCTCTTGCAGGAGGCAAGGGGAATCCTGTTGACTCCTACAGGCCCCGCTCTTCTCAAAGCCCTTCAGAAATCGCTTTTTAACACTTACTTAATAATTTTTTTCCCTGCTGGCAATCTTACAGCTCTGCTGCTCTACGGTGCATTAGAGAACCAATGGACCAGCTCCTGCCCTTAGACCTCTAGAAAAGCCTGCTTTTGCTAAAAATAAAGAGCCCCCTCCCCCTGAAAATTAAAAAAAAAAAGAAAAATAATTAAAAAAACCAAAATAAAACCTTACAAAACTTAAAAATGGGGCGTTAGTTTTGTTACCAATGTATTAATTCTAAAATTAACGAGCGCCGTGGCCCCCCCAGGCCGGGCCAGCCCCTCCTGGGTGAAACAGGGTGGGGGAAAACTCCAAACAAATTCCAAACAAATTCCCAAAAATTCCAAAATCCAAATCCCCTCTCTCTGCCTGTGTTAGTCCACCTGGAGGGAGAGCGCTGGCGGGGGAGGCGATGGAATAAGGCAGAGGCTGCGGGATGGAGGGAGCCCTCCCCGTGCCTCTCCTGGCTGACGCCTGGGGGGCCCGGGGGGGTCTTTGGTTTGTGCCCTGCCCTGCTGGGGGTCCGGGGGCGCCGGGGGGTTACATTCGTCGGGCGGTGCTGGCGGGAGCCTCACTTGCTGTGCTGCTGCGAGGCCGCGGCTCCCTGAGCGTGTTTGTGCTCCTGCTGCTTCACCTGCTGCACGATTTCCCTGATCTTGCGCTGGGCAGTCTGGGGGGAGGCACAAATGGGGGTCAGGGGGCACCACCGGCAGCTCTGCCCCCCTCCCCGAGCCATGACAGCATCACAACCCACCAGCTTTTAACCCCAGGACAAGCCCAGCTGTAATTAAAGCTGGGGTTTAGCTTGTCCTTCCATTGCTCCATGGCCTCAATTTTGGGGTGTCCCCCCCCAGCAGTCAGGAGCCAAGGGTGTGGTACGTGCACCCAGGTGGGATGGGGAAGCCCATTCCCACCTGGTGTGCAAGACAAATTTTGGCTAAATTGAGGAAAACTTTAATTTAAATCAGCCAAACCTCCTTTATAATTTCTGGCCTCATAAACAAGCTGCTCATAGACTCACAGGATTACTGAGTTGGAAGGTACCCACAAGGGTCATCCAGTCCAACCCTCAGCCCTGCACAGGAACATCCCCCAGAGTCACCCCCTGTGCCCCAGAGGATCATCCAAACCCTCCTGGAGCTCTGGCAGCCTTGGGGCTGTGCCCACTGCCCTGGGGAGCCTGGGCAGTGCCCAACCAGCCTCTGGGGGAAGAACCTTTGCCTGAGATCCAACCTGACCCTGCCCTGACACAGCTCCAGCCATTCCCTGGCTGCTGTCCCTGGTCCCCCCAGAGCAGAGCTCAGTCCCTGCCCCTCCTCTGCCCCTGCCCAGGCACTTGGAACTGCAGGGAGGTCTCCCCCTCAGTCTCCTCTGCTCCAGCTGAACACACCAAGTGCCCTCAGTGTCCTCACACGGCTCCAAATCAAGGCCCTTCCCCATCCTCGTTCCCTCCTTTGGACACTCTCCAATGGCTTCAGATCCTTCTTAGACTGCAGTGACCAAAACTGCACAGAAACCTCCCAGATCAGGGCAGCAGGATGCTCAGGGAATGAATGCTGTGCTTGGTGGCTTTCCTTAAACTGGCTGGGAATGCCAGAAAAGCCACGGCCGCGTGGCCAAACCTCACCTGACTGGCAAAGAAATGCCCGATGATTTTGACGACGACCTCGTCATTCTCGTCTGGGGTTTGGTCCCGCGGCACAATCACTTCTGCACTCGTTAAATTCTGCAGCTCATTCACCTGGAGAAAAGGACACAGATCTAGGTTTTGCCGTGGAAGAGCCAAAATCCTCCACTGCCGGTGCCACCCCTGGCTCCGAGCCAGCACATGGCACTGGGAATGCCGTGGGTCACACCCTGTCCCCCTCAGCCACCACGAAGAGCCACCTCCAGGGACTGAGACGTTGCTGCGATCACGGAGCACCTGGACAGAGTGATGGGACATGGGGGACACCCAACTCTGCCCCACTGGGGCAGGTGGGAGCACCCCACACCCCCCACCTACCGTCTTGCCGCCTTTGCCGATGACGCGGCCGGCGGCGAAGGAAGGCACCTTGATGTGGGCTTCGAGCTTCACCTCCTCCTTCGGGTTAAAGAAGTTTTCCTCTTTCAGCTTCCCGAATATTCGTCCCTGGGCCTGCAGAGGGGACAGAATAAGGGAAGTAAAACCAGCGGTGCCTGCTGTGCCCTCCATCCCCACGGGTGATGATGTGCCGATGTCCACCAGCACCAAAGTCGTGGTCCCAAGCCATGAGCCCCCTGGCACTCAGAGAGTGGCAGCACAGCGGGGACACACCTCGCTGTGTCCCTGCCCATGTCCTCACCCAGCACCCACAGCCAGCACACCTTGAACTGAGCCTCGGGTGGTCCCGTGATGATCACCATCCGCTCGCTGGCATCTGGACCTTCTGCTGGGGCGATCTGGGAGGGAGCAGGAAGGAGTGTGAGTGGGACCCCCTCCTCGGGCAAGACCTCCCCTAAATGGGATGTCCCCCCCATGCAAGGACATCCCCTCCCCCTGTGCAGGAGTGACAACCAGGCTGCAGGACTGGGTTTCTACTAATTTGGGGAGCAAACCCACCCCCCGAGGGTTCCCATTCTCTGCCCTCAATAGCAGGAAGGGGAAACTGAGGCATGAAGGCCCCAGGCAACCCCTGCAGAGCCCTGCTCACCTTGATGGAGGCACCAGCAAACCGTGCCAGTTGCTTGATGTGCTGCCCCTTCTTGCCGATGATGGCCCCCACCGCCTGCGTCGGGATGAACAAGTTCACCACCTCCTGCTCCGGCAGCTGGAAGGGGCACAGAGGAGCCAGAGGGTCAGGGGATCAGATGGACCAGGGGGTGGCCTCCCCACCCCAGCATGCCAGGGTTGAGGAGGAGCTGGGTTGGGCTGGGTTGGTGCGGGTTGAGTTGGGTAAGTTCTGGGTTGAGTTGGGTTGGGTCAAGGTGCTGGCACCCACCTTGGTTTTTTGCCTGCCCTGGCCACACAACCACCCCCTCCCAAGGTGCTCAAGTGAAAACCTCATGGAGGGAGGTGCTGGGGCACTTTTGGGGTGCTGATGGGGGAGGGGCACTTACAGGGTGCTGGTGGGGGAAGGCGCCAGCCGGAGAGGCTCCGTACAGACCCGACACGTAGGCTGAGGAGCCCTGTGGTGGGAGAGGAAACAGGGTCAGTGACATCAGTGAGTCCCCAAGGTGCCAGCCCCTTCCCAGCCCCATCCCAGCCACCCCTAGTACGAGTGAGAAGAGCAGTGTGCCACCACCATGGGACCACCAGGGACCACCCCTCACCCCCTGAGACCCCTCTGAGACCGTGGGTGCACCCAAGGGTGTAAATGGTGAGCTACAGCCTGGATGCTGTGCTTCTGGCACAGCACAAAGGGGCTGGGAGGTGGTGGGAGCTCCCAGTTAACCCCAGTTCCTCCCCACTGCTGGTTTTTCGGCCATGTCCTGCTGATGGAGCGGCCACAACCCTGGAAAGCCTCTTGGCTGTGCTGCAACCACCACTGGTCCCCTGTGGAGAAGGTGGGGGTTGGGGAGAACTGAGTAAAACTTCTGCTTTGGCTCTGATTTCCATCCCCATTGTCCCTCTCCAGTTCCAAGAGAGGGAAAAGCAAAGGCTAAAGATGTTCTCCCAATACCCAGGCTGGGAGCAGGGAGAAAGCAGAGGGTCTCTCTGTGGCCAGAAGGAAGGACTGAGTGCCAGCACCCCACCCCAACCCAACCCAACCCAACTCAACTCAACCTCTTCTGTGTCTCAAATCCATCAGACATTTCTCCTGGCAACAGACACAACTCCCTCCCACTCTGGGGGACATCAACAGGTCATCTCCCACCCAGCCAGGGTGGCCACCACTTCTCAGCCTTCCCCATTCATTGTGAAGCTCCTTTCTCATCCTCCATCCTTGCCCAGTCTCTAGACCTCCACATTTTTGTCTTACTATAAATAAACAGGGGCGATTTCCAAGAGGAAATTGCTCCTCTTGGCCTCACCAGGGGGACTTAAGCCGGGACATGCAAAGCTTTGGGGTGAAGGACCCCACACCAAACGCTGCCCTTCAGAAGCCTGCCCAGACCCTCCTCATCACACCCACAAATACTTCCCACAAGCTGATGTCTCCCAACATACAGGGAGAGCATCCTCCCCTCCATGGGCTGGCAGAGACAGACCAACTGACCCTCCTGGTCCCTCCAGAGCCACCACATCCCTCTCCCCTCACCCCCCCCGGCACTCACCGTCCTCCTGCGCCCGCTCTGCTGCTGCCATCGCCAGGGAGAGAAAACAGCACAAGTCAATTAATGCACAACTTGGAATAAACTCTTCAGAGACTAACAGAGACAGCCCACAGCACCTGGGGGACCCAAGGGTGCTCTGCAGATGCTGCTGGATGGACTTTCTCTATCAGCACTTTGGCCACCATGGTCTCTGGGCACTGGACCTTTGCTGCCCACACGGGACCTCAGGGGTTTTGAAGATCCTTTCCCAGGTCTCAGCACCCCAAGAACAAGGAAAATGCCTCCCTATGAGGTGGGGTGGAGGTTGGCTCCCTGCAAGCACAACCCCTGGGTGCCAGGGCAGGGATCCAAGGTGATCCTTTGTTGGTGGAGGCACAGGGTGGGCTGCTTGTCCCCTGCACGCCCTGTGGCCACACCAGGGGACTCAGGTGGCCACCAAGACCAGACCCACAGGGCACAACCCAGCCCACACCAACCTAGTGGTGGGCTTGGAGTCAGGACTGAAGAGCACCCGCAAGGTTCTTCCACAATCTCTTCAGATACTGACCCCTGAGACGCAGCTAGTCCTTAAACACGTGAAACCAAGCCCAGCACAACACAGGGATCTTCCCAGGAGCTGAATCCAAGGAAGGACAAACCACCTTCATTCCCTGTCCTCTCCACTCTGCTGCCATGACAGCATCCTCCCCAAATGGCCGAGAGTCAGAGCTCCCACTCAAGGCTCCTGCAGTTCCAATGACCACCCAAAGCCGACAGCTCCAGCAGGACATTCCAGACACCACTCTGCCCCCAGGAATACACCCCCACACCCCACACTTACTGCAAAGGGGTGGTAGGGGGTGGCAGCTGCAGCCCCTCGGGCCCCCGGGGCGGACGGGAGCATGGACAGCCCAGTGGAGAAGATGCCCAAGGCGTTGAGGTTCAGTCCTGGGATCAGGTTGGCTTGTTGCTGGGAAAACAAAGACATGGAGAGAGGTGTGAAAGGCAGAGTGGGGTTTTGGGCTTCTCACCCCTGTGTGGGTGTGATGGGTGAGGGCCAACCAACCCTTGTCATAACATATTGACACTCTCCCCTCCAGTTTTCTTCTGGCCACCTCAGTGGAGGGGGAGCATCCCAGGGGGAAGGTTGGAGCTTACATTGACAGCCACCACGTCGTTCTCGTAGGCCTCTCTCAGCTTCTTCATGATCTCCACCTCGGCATGGGAACAGGCCTCCGTGCTGCCCTTCACCGTGATGGTCCGCTCGGGGTTGTAAATGGTCAAATCCTGCAAACTGCCCGCAGGGAAACCCGGACACGCCGTTACATTCTTCCTCCAGGGCAAGAAAAGCCCCAGGAAAACTCAAATCAAAGCTGAAGGTTCCTCCCCAAGACAGATTCCACACACACCCCCTCTCCTGGCCCAGTGCCACCATTCCCTGGGGTGAGGAACGTCCACCTGGGATGGGAATGCACACGGAAGGACACAACTGCTCTGTTTTCTGTCTCTAGCACAGCCCATCCCACGCTGGATGGAAGGAGGTGGCTTGGTGTTCACCAGGACTTCACTGAATCATGGAATTCCAGGATGGTTTGGGTTAGAAGGGACCTTAAAGCTCACCCAGTCCCACCCCTGCCATGGGCAGGGACACCTTCCACTAGCCCAGGTTGCTCCAAGCCCCGCCCAACCTGGCCTTGGACACTTCCAGGGATCCAGGAGCAGCCACAGCTTCTCTGGGAAACCTGTGCCAGGGCCTCCCAACCTCACAGGGAAGAATTCCTTCCCAATATCCCATCTATCCCCGCCCTCTGGTAGTGGGAAGCCATTCCCCTTGTCCTGTCACAGGAACTTACGGGGAGATGGTGATCTTTGTGCCCGTGTCCTGCTCAATCTTCTTGAGGTTGCGGCCCTCCTTGCCAATCAACCTCCCCACCAGGCTGTTGTGTGCCAGGATTTTCAAGGGAATCTCTTCTGCTCTAAAACGGATTCAAAAATAAAATCCAAAGGTCTGTCTGGCCAGGAAACCCATTTCCAGGCACGAGCACTACGGACGTGGTGGAAGGAGCACAAGAACCACCACTGTTTCAAACCACAACCCGTCTGGCTGAGCCCACAGCACTCACGATTTAGTTTCATCAGCCTCTTTCTGCATGATATCCAGGATCATGCGACAGGCTTCGGAGCAGCCCTCCGGTGTGGCGTGGATGGTGATGGGCTTTTCGGCAGCGCCGGTGTTCTCCTTCCGGTGGATGTCGACCCTACGGAGAAAGAACCAGCAGAGAGGAGCCCCCTGAGATGGGTCTGGTGGCACACAGAGGCTTTCGAGAGCTCAGGAGCTGAGAAAAACTCGTTTCAACACTTGCTCAAGCTTTGGGGTGAACTTGTGTCTCAGGTGCATCTGCCACCACCTGGCTCATGCAAGCCCAGGTCGTGTTTGGTTTTGGGTGCTTTGGACCAGACCTGGGCTATGTTTGCCTTTAGGACACGAGGTCCCCGGGAGCTGAGGGGCATCACAATGTCAACCAACGCATCGAGGAGGCAGAAAACCCTCAACAGCTCAAAGCCCTGAGCCACCTGCCTATCCTCTCTGATGCCAGTCCCACTCAGAGCCAGAGACCGGGTCAGGGGTCTCCAGAGGTCCCTTCCGACCTCCACCTCTCTCTGCACAACACCCGAGGCTGTCCAGTGACCACGTCCTTCGGGACAGAGAGAACTTACCCGTGGGCAGTGTCTGTCCCGACACGGAGGCAACACGTCAACAAGAGCGCTGGTACTCACGCCCTCCCTCGGGAGAGCAGCAGCCCCTCCCGTGCGCCCGCTGGGACCTGCTCTCCTCCTCTGGTCCTCCCTCAGCTCATGGCGGGGAGGCGGAACGCGCCTCCAGCTCGCTCCTCACGCTCAACCGTACCTGGCAAAGGCCCTGAGAGAGAGGGAGAGAGGAAAGCAGGGTAGGAGACTCCCGCACTTCAACCACGTGTCCTGGAGAGCAGGGGAAGCGACCTCTCCGTCTTCTCCGCGCGAGGCCGCGCGCTCTTCCCGCCGCAGAATGACGGATGCCATGCAGCTGTCCTGCCACGGGCCACCACCGCGGCGTCCCTGTCACTGCCGCAGCCAGGGCCACATCTTCTGAGCAGGGGCGGCAGTGGCTGCTCAGCCCCTCGGTGAGTCCCACCAGCACTCGGCTCTGACACGGCAGAGCCTCCGGCCACGTCTCTGTCCCAACCGGGGTCACTCCTGGTGTTGCTGTGTGTGCCAGGCCAAGGGCTGTGGGGCAGAGTCACCCCCATCCATGGGGGAATGGTGTGGGGTCCCGGTGGGTTTGCACAGGTCAACTCTTCCACGAGCTCCTGAGCCAGTGCATCGGAATGTGAGCAGTGGAGGATGAGCCAGGTAAGGCTGGGGGAGCTGAGATAAGGGCAGAGCCAACTCCACCAGCTCCAAAGGGACCTCAGAGTGGTTCCATCCAAGCACTGAGCAGGGAGTGAAAACAGAGTGTGATCCCCTTTGTAGGCTCCATCTCTCCAGATCTCCCACGGCTTCAGCCAGAGCTGCTCGGGCAGGAGGCTGGTCCCGAGTGGACTGTGCAAGGAGGTGATGGGGACACTGGCACTGCTGAGCTCTCCCTGCCCTTGGTCACATCTACAGCCCGTGGTGACCCTGCTGTGTGCTGTGTGACACCTCTGAGGCGCTCCTGGTCGTGCAGCTCCGTCAGGTTGGTTTGCAGGATCTGTTCCCAGCAGGCACAGGGACACTCTGCCTCCCCCTTTGCCAGGGACAGGGCAAGAACATCACAAGGGGCCACACGAGGTGATGACAGACCAGGCTGATGCTCCCAGTTAGGGGGAACCCATGAGGATCCCAACAAACCCCACAGACGGGAGCCAGGCAGCTCCTTGAACCCACGAGCAGCCGAGGCTGGTGGAGGTGGGGACACAGCTGAGCCTCCGCCCTGGAGAAGGACCAAGCACCAGAGAAGGGCTGAATGGAGGCACTGAGGTGATGAGGACCTTGGACAATCCCCAGAGACAGGCACAAGCCAAGTTTCTGGCTGACCAAGCCATCCCACACCTGGATGTGAGGCACGAGCTCCCTTTGCAGAGGGAAGATGTGACGCCAGGAAGGGGCTGCCGTGTTCAAGGCATGTCCCACCCCAAAGAGCTGGAGAACGGAGAGCTCTGGACTTTCCAGCACATCCCCGTGCCACCGCTGCACAGCTCTATTCCAATGGGAGGATGGGGAAGGGGACCCTCAGCACCCTCACCCCATCACCAGGAGCTGCAGGAAGGGGCAACCAGGGATGGTGGGACAGGGATAGGGCAGGTTTGCCCATGGTGTAGCAGGAAAAGCCTCCATGACACATCACAGGGGTCTGGGAATGTTTCAGGGAGCAGTGGCCATGAGGGACAGCCCTCTCCAGGTGGACAATATGGTGTGCATGCAGGGTTATCCTGGCAGCCGCAGTCCTCTCCTCACTGAGTTCCAGGGGCTGTGGAAGGTCATCTGGTGGGGTGGGCTCTTGGCCTGGGCTTCTTCGTGGGAGAAGATGGCTCAGCCTGGGGACAGTTTTGTCCCCTGGAGCTCAAGAACATCTCTGGGATCACTGTGTGTGCAGCCAGGGGGTGAAGTCCGATGTGACCAGAAGAATCCAGAAGCCAAGGTCGCTTTGGGAAGGAGCAGGGGCTGGACATCACTCAGGGTGGTCTGAGCAAGGACACAGCTGTGGGATGACACCCCAAACTGAAGGAAAGGCTCTCCTGAGGCTGCCCAGGACGGGTGCTTGAGGTCCTCTTTGCCCAAGGCTGGAGTGGAAGTGGTGGCACATGGTCTCTGTGGGTAGGTCAGGAGAGGGGGTGAGCACAGAGCACGGCCTTCCTCCAGGGCACCGGGTCTTCAGGGCAGGCACAGGGAGCTAATCCATAAGGAAGGACAATTTCATGGCAGAAACTGCCCCAGGCAGCAGCGTTTGGCCTCGTGGTCAGGAGAAACCAGAACCTTCCCACTCTTCACCAGGTTCAGGGCTTGAAAAGGGCAACTTCCAGTCTTGGGTGGTGGGGACAAAGCTACCCCTGCTGCTCATCCCACCAGGACTCACCTGGAGAAGGGCTTGTGGCCAACAGGGACCAGCTCACAGCCACCAGGTGGCCCTGCCCGAGGGCCAGCCGGGCTCCAAGAGCTCCTCTCTCCCTACTCATCTGCCCCCTTTCCATACAAACCTCTTCCTGCCAACCCAATGCTGGGGTCTGGATCATCTTCCTACCTCCAGCCGCGCTACTACCAAATAATTTGCCTCTAAAAGCTCCTCTGAGAACTAGGATGTTGTGGGACAGGAGTCCTATGTCCCACGGGATCACTGGGTTCGGGATGATGAGCATGGGAGAAGGCAGCTTTGGGTTAGACACAAACACACCTGGGCAGGAACAAACCATGCAGGAAAACCATGCGGAGGATCAGCAGTGAAATCAAGGAGGACAGCGACAAGAGAAACATGGAAAACTTTGGCAAGACAAATCCCCCTTTTTGTTCTTTCCTTCTTTTTTTTGAAAATAGAAATGTTAAAAAAAATGTTAATTGCTAAAAAAAGGCTTCCAACAGTTACAAAGCCTGTCCTTCTCATGGCAGTGCTCCCACGGTGTCCCCTTTCCCCCTACAACAGCTCTAGCCCATATGGGATGCTCATCCCATATGATTATGATCCCATTGATGAGCAAATCCCGAGGGCAAAGACCACTGCACTGAGGATTCCCCTCTGGGATTTTAACCCCAAACTTGCTATTTCTCCCTAAAGCCTCATCCCCAGCTGCTTTCATGAGGCTTTAGGAACTCATTCCTGGCCTTTTCCAACGTGCATCCCCCTCCTGCCACACCGAGACCACCCTGGCCAGCAGGAATGGTTCAGGATTTGAGCTCTGCCACCATCCCCTGAAGGCTGCACCCCAAGGAATCGGCACTGGCCAGCACTCCAGAGCCCCGAGTGCAGGGAGGACCCCAAGCTGGGACCTGCAGCACCCTACAGAAGGAAACAAAACCATTGAAGTACTTACTTGGACTGGGTTTGCTTAGTAAGGTTCTTTATGGTCAAGCCCTCCTTTCCTATGATCGCACCAACAAACTGCGTGGGCACCAGCATCCGCAGTGGGAACTCGAGCTGTTTGGGCTGCGAGGAGCCCCCCGGGGAGGAGCCCCGCTCCCTGGAAGAGTGGCCCCCGCGGCGGGATCGCTGGGGGGGCGGAGGGGAGCTCACCTCTTCATCCGGGATGTAGGAAATCTTGAAGGAATAGTTGTCAAACTGGTGGTCGCTCAGCTTCTCTATGGCTCTGCAAGGCAGGGAGATGCACAGGGTGCTGAGGGGCTCCCCAGGGACGGGCACCCCACCAGCACCCCCAGAGCCTTGTAGTCCATGGTCCCTCCCCAGTCTCCAGCTTCTCCCTCCCCGGTCTGGAGAAGGTGGCCATGGGAAGCCAGAGCCCCTCGCTTTTCCCATGAGGAGCAAGTCCCATAGCGTGGTGGGACATCATCCCCTCCCATGTGGCTGATGCTGGAGCTGGCACACAGCTCATCTCCCCAGCAGAGGTGGGATGGCAGCCTGGGGACCTGCCCCTTCACCTGGGAACCTACTCCCGGGCAAAGTACTTCCCAGAAACAGCCTCACAGGCTTTTTGGACATGGAAAAGGTGATAGAGCAGCTCTGAGCAACCACCGCAGCTCCAGGGAGAGGGATGTAGCACGTGGTGCCCCTTTTTTGGAAACCCCAACTCCCTTCCCAGCAGGACAAGGCTGGGGGCAGCACCTGGACTCTCCATGCCCCAGCCCCTCCTCGGTGGGGCTCAGCTGTGCCCGTGTCTGCCATGACCCCACAAAGTGGTGGTGGCTCCAACCATACTCCTTCCCTCCCCCTACTACATCCCACTTTGGCTGTGGATGGACCACAACAAGCAGCTCCTTGCCAGGCCTGAAATCCACGTCCACTGAGGACTTGTGCAGCTTCACCATCCAAAACAGTCTCTTATCCCGAAGTACCAAGCACTGTTGTCTTAGGGAAACTCTTCTGTCTTCCTTTCTTGCCACACATCCCAAGGCCATGGTGTGGTGGGATTTTTGGGGCTGTCCAATGCAGGGTCAGGAGTTGGACTAGATGATTGTTGTGGGTCCTTCCCAACTCAGGAGATTCTATGATTCTAAGACACTCATCTGTGGTCCATGGCACCTCCAGCCAAGGCTGGAGGCACAAGGAGGACTCTCCTCCGCCCTTCTGGACCAGGAGATCACTCTCCCCATCTCTGTCCTTGCTTATCCAACACCACAATGGGTCAGCACAGATGAGAAACTGGTGGAACATCCATCAACAAATGGACTCACAAAGGCTCTTTGTTGCCTGGGATCTGCCTGGCTCTTGGTCCTACCAAAAACACCCCGGCCACTAATTAAGGAATATCTCACTGTTTACTCGTAGCTTACACAGAGCTGGTCTCTACAAGCCTGGACCAAAGCATTTTGCTTGAAATAGTTCCACTTCAGAAATAACTCCTAATTTGTATTTTTCCTCTCTGCTGGCTATGATAAACCTTTCATCATGTCTCCACATGGCCTCCTCGGGTCCTGCCAGCCTCCCGAAGCTTTTTCTGGTGGGGGACATTTCTCTGAGACTCCTTGGCACAACAGGCAGGTGATTCACCCTCAGCTGCTCCCCTGCTCCTGCAGACACCAACCATGGGCCTCCTGGCTCCCTCTCACCTCCTCCACCCACCCATCCATCCACCCCTCTCTTGTCCATGGCAAAAGAACTTTCAGAAGCCAACCAGGTGGTTCCTCTCGACAGGAGGTGACAGTCTCTGCGTATTTTGGTTTCCAGCTTGGCTTTTCTCACTCTCCCATCACCACCACATTTCTTCACCATCTCTGCCATCTCCTTCACCACCTTCAGCAGCTCTAACTGGGTGGTCACACTGGTGATTAATCTGGTGCATTCCCTGTTTTGGCCTGATTTCCAACCTGGGAAGACAAACTGCTTATCTGACCTGACCCTCAGCTTTCCACTTTGCTGCCTGAAGACAAGGCCACTGAGCCATGGCAGAGAACCCTGCAGGAAGGACAGTGTCCAAAGGGAATTGCACATCCAGGAGACAAGGAGAGAAGGCCCCTTGAAGGGACAACCACAGGAAACCCCATGTGATGGCCACAGGAAACCCCATCTCCCATCAGGGGAGAAGGCAGGAGACAGCCCAGCAGTGGGACAACTTAGACAGAAGACAAGATGTCTGGGATTCCTCAGGAAAAGTCTGGGTGGTGTGAAATTATGGACAAAGCGAAACAAAGCCCACTCACACTTTTGCCTCTTCCTTGGTCGCGTAGGTCACGTTGACAACGGCTGTTTCTGTGTCTGTGTTCACTGGGGGAGCAAGAGGAGGACAGTTAGAGCAGGGAGGGAGAGAGGTCACTGCTGCTCCTGGCCCCAGCACACTCCAGAGGGGGGACACAGCTGGGGACGGTGGGATGGGGATGCCTGGCACTGCTGCACTTCCCCCCAGCACAAGGACAGGGCTGGAACAAGACCAGAAGGTGCCAAAGCTGGATCCAAGCAGGACACCTGGCTGGACATCCCCAGTCCATCACTGGACCCCAAATGACACTCAGCTCATTTTTACAGGCCAGGGACCAGGAGAATCCCTGGGGATGGAGGGTGGATGGTCCGTGCCATCCCACCACGGGATGGGCAGCCCTACCTCTGCCAGCAGGGCTTGGGTCCAAAAGGAAAACCAGTTCAGCCCAGTACTACTGGGATAATTAGGTTTCACCCCAGTGGGTTTCCTTTTCCTGTGGTGTGGGCAGAGCCAGGGAGCAGCGCTGGGAATTTTGCAGGGCTGAGGACCACGCTGGGCCATCTTACCTTGCTCTACATTCTCCACCGTCCCGTACTGAGCTAACAGGCCATCCAGCACCTGGGGAGAGCAGCAAACCGGGCAGGTGAGGCCCCAGACAGGCAGGGGAAGAGCCCACTCCCCCCACAAACACCCTCCAACATCACCCAACTGCTTAAATGCCTTCACCCACCTGCATCCCACCATCCCAAAGATGCCCCACAACTCTGTGACCCACAGACAGGCAGGAGCTGGGGCCCAGTTCATGCTCCCTCCTGGGGTTACTGGGAGGGTAAAGGGTGGCCCACGGGCAGACCACGTGCTCCAATGGCACAGCTTGTGCTGACGGAGGGGGAGATAAACGGGATGTTTTTAGGATCAGCCACTTCTTACCTCCCACTGTAGGTGGGGGGGGATATTTCGGATCTGGATCTTCCTGCTCCTGCAAAGACAAAGCCCTGGGTTAGGGTCTGCAGGTGCCCCACAGCAGAGGGAACAGCCTCTCTGGGAACCACATGGCAGCTGGGGAGAGCCTTCCAAAGCATCCTGCTTCGCCACGCCGAGCCAGGGCAGCTCATCCCCAGGGAAAGAGCTTCTCCCAGCTTTGTCCCGGTCACCCTGCCGGGGCTGGAGCTGTCTCCAGAACGCTCCCTCCTCATGCTGGCTGTCAGGTTTCCAAGGAAACCTCCTGAAAGGAGCCTCTGCAGAGTCATGGCCGCACAGGGAGGCTGGGATGCATGGACACCCCTGACCACGCTGCCCTGGGCTGGGGGCTGGGTGGGGACAGGACCCCCAGCCCCACCACAGCCAGCCCTGCTATCCCTTGAGGGAGCTCTCCAAACGTGCATCCTGCTATGTCCACCGCTTCCCAGCAACATGGGGCTGCTTTCCTTGGGGAAACCTAGCCAAATATTCTTGGAGCTGGCCAACACCCCCAACCTTCCAACCTGACATGATTGTGTTCCCAATCTGGCCATGGCTGCATTCCCAACCTGGCCGTGGTTGCACTCCAACCCTGGCTGTAGCTGCATTCCCAACCTGGCTGTGACAGCATTCCCAACCTCATGATTGTGTTCCCAGCCTGGCCATGGTTACACTCCCAAGCTCATCACGGGGCAGCCTGGGGAATGGATGTACAGGAACCACTGCCAAGGCTTCCCATGGGATAACAGCCACCAAACACCTCCCCAGCCTGGCTGTGCTTGGGCAGTGGGGAGTTTTGAGACAGTCCAGTCCATGGAGGATCCAACCAAGCCATGAGCTCATCCATGGGCCACCCAGATCAGCATTCCCAATCCTGCTTGTAGTCAGTCAGCTCTGACCAAAGCACTGTCCTACGTTCTCTGCTCTCCCAATACCCAGGATGAGCTTCCTGACAGTCCCCCCCACACACACAGCCAGGTTTTGGGAGCTGATCAGCAGCTGGAAGCTGATTTTATGAAGTTTTCTCCCTCCTTGGGATGAGCTCAAGGAGGATGCTTGGGAGGACAGGGACCACCAGCCTCAACACTACGTGGGGACAGGGAAGCAGCTCCAGCTGATGGTCACCAACACCCAGGGGCTTTGGGCCAAATCCTGCAGGACCAGAGGCAGGAGGAGATAGAAGAAGACATGAACACCCTGATTCCACCAGCAATCTTCAACAGCTGGAAAATGAGACCTTCCAGCTGTGGTCTCTGCTCTCACAGCTCACGGCACAGGCACATCTTGAGCTCCTGCAAACCATTCTGGTTCTTTGGGTAGTTTGGGGCCAGACACGGCGAGGGACAGGCAGGAAAAAGGATGTTTCTTGAGATGTGGGCTGTGAGGGTAGGACTGAACCCACAGCTGGTCCCACAAGGACCATGGTCAAGCAAAGAGGGAGGAGGAGGAGGCTCACATCTCCTGGGGCTGCTCACACAGGGATGGTCAGTGGGACAGCAAACCCTGCACTGGCAGCCAGATGAGTAGGAGTGCTCAGGAAAAGGGGTTTGACAGGCTCCTGTCCCCAGCTGCCACCAGGGATTTCATGGCTGGGAATGCAGACGTAAGAACCCTGAGAGGGAAGGAGCAGGATTCATCCCATCCCATGCCCAGCCATCTCCACCCCATGCCACGAAGGAGGACCTGGGAGGGTCCCAGGAACGGAGACCATGGCAATGATGGGTTCACCAAGAGCCTGAATCCTTCTTCCTGTCCTTGTCACCTGCCCATGGCTGACACTGCTCCCAGCACAAACACTGCGGGGACCATTCCAGTAAACTGGACAGGTTTCATTTTTAAACCCTACCAGCACTTCCCAGAGGGGCTATTTTAAGATGCCCAGGTCCAGGCTAGATGTTCAGCTCCAGGGGGACCACTCCTGCCTGCTCCAAAGGATGCATCCCATTCCCAAAATGCCTGCTGACAGGCTGTGAGGCCGCTGTGCCTGAGCAAATCCCAGTGAGCCTCAAACCACTGGAGAGAGCTGGACACGCTGCCTGGTTACTCCCACCACCTTCCAGGCCCCAAACAATGGGTGGAACCTTCACTGGCCACACCTTCCCAAGGTGCCACACTCAGCTGCAAGCCAAAGCATCACCACAAGCAGCCTCCTCCTGCAGCTTGGGAACCATCAGGATGCCACAGGCTGGACCCCGGAGGAGCCGCTCTCCCTTTGGGGTTCCGCTGGCTCAGCTCACCCGTCACAAAGCCCAGCACAGGGTACTTGGAGGGAGCTCATCCAAGAGAAACCAGCACAGCAGCTGCACACAGTCCCCTGGCCACTCCTGGGAAGCCTCTGCCTTGAACTAATTGCTCCAAGGCTGTAATTTCCCTACATCTCCCAAGGGAGATGCCATGAGAGATGCCAAGGGAGATGCCAGAGCAGCCCAGTCTCCTGAGGTGGTGCTCACCCCTCTGTGCCTGCCACCCACCTCCCCAAACACCCAAACAGAAGGATCACAGCACGGTGTCACGTAACCCCACTTCCCAAAAGGACACTACAACATATTCCCACTTCCAGTGTCCATCCAAGCTCGTGCAGAGCACCTAAAGACACTCAAATGGTGCTCCAAGGTTCCCCCCACCCCCAGGCAGGCCTCCCAGCAGCTCATCATCACCACTGACCATTTAAAATAAGGTTATTATTCCCACAGGATGTATTTTTTATGGCTCTTGTAATTCCCCACCTAGTTGGGAGCAGTGCTGGACCACACACAGTCATCACTGATGGAGTGATGGATGCGTTATTCCCAGGGTTGGGGCAGGGACCACCCTCCTCCAACACCACTCCCAGGAGGACTTGGAGGCAGAAACACCCTTTATTTTTATTTTAGTTTCATTTTCCTCGCTCCTCCCGAAACCTGGGGACTGATTTCCAGGGACAGGACCCCAGCACAGGAGCTCATGACCAGAGGCAGCAGCCACGTTTCCCCCAACCAGTTTTGCAGCAGGCTAGTGGGGATTTAAAAAACATAATAAATGTAACAACCACTTCGGGGAAAAACACTTAAATGTGTGATGCAACTGCCACAGGGAGCTGTCCTTGGATAACCTGGAGAGCTGATCCTTCTGGATCACCCTTCGGCTCTGCCCTACCTGCACACCCACCTCATGCCCAGACCAGGACAAAGTGCCCTGTGAGAACAGAGCACCGGCTTCAAGAGCTAAAGAAACCAGGTTCACCTGCTTTTTTTCCCTTCTAAATTCAACCCAAACAGGTCCTGCTCGGCAGCAGCTCCAGGAGGGAGCATCTCCTACATCCCAGAGCCGGGTTTTGGGCACCGGCAACACACGAGGGATCAAGGAGGGAGCGAGGCTGTAGGGTGGGCTCAGGAACTAACCCAGCTGTGTGTCATTTCCTGCATCCACCAGAGCAAAATCATGGGGCTGACATCACAATCCTGAAGGGAAAGGGGATGGAAACCCAGGAAAACCTGCCGGCATCACCCCGTGCCACGTGCCCGGGGTCTGCACTTGCTGAAATCAAGCAAGAAAACAGAAAATGCCTCAAAACTGATGGTGGGTTCCCCAGAATCAGGTGGATTGAGGGTTTTTCGGCACATCTCCCTCTTTTCCAGGTGGTTTCCCGCCCTCCCATAGCTGCCAGGGAAACAGTGGGTAACAACCCCCTCCAAAATCCAGGGACACAGAAGCAGAATAAAAAAGATGAGACGAAGGTGTGAAATGAAAACCAGACCCAGCTCCCTGCTCAACCTCCACAGGTCCTCCCTGGATCCTCCTATGGATCACTCAGCCATCCCCCGCTCTCCTGCTCCAGAGGGTCTTCATATCCCAAAGTATTTGGGAATCAGAAACTCAATTTCACTGAGCTGGCTTAAATATAAACCCTGTAATAATACTACAATAACAAAAATATAGTAATATAACAACATGATAATACAATAACATGAAAAATCATATATAATGGTATATAATTAATATTATGGAATATAATATTCACCACTCTCTGCCCTAAAAAAAGCAGAATTTTTTTCTACTCAAGCTTTAGTATCTTAACTGTATTAAAGCCAAAAAGGGATTTTATCACCTTCCACCTTGGATCGGTGCTGGGGGCAGACAAAACACGGTCTGGCACCTCCTGCTTTCCTGAAAAATCAGTTTTCAAGAGAACTGGGGAAAAAACAGAGGGAAAACATACTGGAAATCAAACAGGAGCCCTGCCTGCTTTATGAAGTATTTGTCCCAGGGAAGAAAACATCTACAAAAAAAGATTCCCATCATCAGGCACGGACCAAATTCCATCCCAGCTGAATTTTCCAGACCCAGCCACACTGACCAGGCAGGGAAGGAAGTGGCTATTGGGTTTGTGTCTGTCATTATATATATATATTTTAAGTCTATCAGGGTCATCCTGGACAAGTTTTGCTGCCTCCCAACCCCATCCAGCAGCGGATCTTCCCGAGTTGCTCCATCAGTGCCAGGCTGGATGAGCATTAAAGGGCTGCCCCAGTTTCAACCAGTTGCCAAGAGCATCGAGGCTGCTCCAGTTCCCTCCCAGCCCAGGCTTTGCCCTGACGCTCTTAAGGAATTAAAATCCGTTGTTGTCAAAGCCCAGCAACCTGCCGAAGGTCGGGAGCACGGGATGGAGGCAGCCCCGGGAGCGGGGATGTATCAACAATAGGGATGGACGGGAATAACGGCCCATCTGTCACGGCCCGGCCACAGGAACGGGGGAGGAAACAACAGAGGGTGGGGGAAGAGGAGGGAGGGAAATGAGGCGGTAAAGAAAAAAGAAAGGGGGAAAAAAGGAGGGGAAAACAAAAAAAAGGAGGAGAAACTGAAAGAAGGGGGGGAAGAAAGAAAGGGGGGAAGAAAGAAGGGGAAAAAAGAAGGAAGGGGGAAAGAGAGACAAGGGAGAAATGAAAGAAGGGGGGAAAGAAGGTGGGGAAAAAAAAGGGGGGAAGAAAGGAGGGGATAAAAGGGAGGGAAAAGAAAGGGGGAAAAGAAACGGGGGAAAGAAAGGAAGGGGAAAGAAAGGGGGGAGAAATGAAGAGGGAATGAGAAGAGGAAAAAAAGTGGGGGAAAGATAGGGTAAAAGGAAGGAGGAAAAAGAAGAGGGTGAGAGGAAGGAGGAAAAAGAAGAGGGGGAAAAGGAGGCAAAAAAGGAGAGAAAAGAGGGAGGAAAAGAAGGGGTGGGGGGAAATGAGAAGAGAACAAAGGCAGGGGGGAAAGAGGGGGCAAAAAAATCATTTATTCTTTTCCTTTCAGCTTTGGTCTCTCTCTGTGCCTCCAGACCCAGGTTGGCTTCCCATGGTACCAAGAAAAATCCCAGGATCCTACGGCATGGACGGCATGGCCTCTGTCCCCTCCCTGCACCCCAGCTCCCATCCCTGCATTCCCACTCCCATCCTCGTATTCCCAGCGGGAAGCAGAGACCCAAGAGAAAAGAAAACCAAACCCACTCCAACACCAGCAGCTCCCAGTTCAACCACACCAGAAAACAGATAAAATAAAATAAAACAAAACGGTGTCACCCCGAGCCAGAGCCAGCACTGGAGCCTGGGAAAGGACCAGCTCCAAGGGGATTCTCCTGGCCAGCTCCATAGGGAACAGCTTCCAAGACCTATGGGAAACTGGGTACACATCCAACAGGCAGCAGGAGGGGGTTTCCCATCCCTGACCTGACCAGCATCACCCTGGCAACATCATATGTACGTCTCTCTCTCAAAATATATATATATATATATATAAAGTCTATTTTTAAAAATATAAATATGTCTTATAAAAAATTTTAGATATTCTATAGCAATGTTTTGTGTGGTTTATATAATTTCATATATTTATTTAAGTATTTTATAAAAATATAGAAACATAGAATAGTTTGGGTTGGAAGGGATTGTTAAAGCTCATCTAGTGCACATTTCTCATATAAAAATACATATTAGGAGTGTATTTCTATACATATAAAATAGACATTTGAAGCATGTTTTTATACATATAAAATATATATAAAAAGTGCCTTTTATACAGTGTCTTTATACAAGCAGTATCTTTTATTTGTACCTACATAAAAGACATGAAATATTTTAAATACACAACCATAAATTATTAATTTATATTACTATAAAAGGCACCAAAAGTTAAAATATATATCCAGTTTAGGATATAGGACTAGGACTGAGAGCAGCCTCACTCTGAGCACCCCAAATTCAATTTTCTGCTCCCCATGTGCATTCCCAGACACACGTGGAGAGGTTCCAGGGGCTTTTCCCGGCAAAGCAACTGGTGTGCACGGGAATTCCACTCCCCTAATTAAACATCTCATTAAAGCAATTAATAATAAGGCAGGAAAAGATGGGATGTCCGTGCGGACACCAAAAAGGTTTGGATGTGCATCCCGATCTTTAACATCACCAGCATTTTGGGCTGAAAAATAAAGGGTTGGGGGGAAATAAGCAAATAATCAATAAAGCAAAAACACGCTGAAACGAGAACAGAATTGCTGCTCAAGAGAGAATTATTTAAGGGTAACTCCTCTGGAAATAGGAGAAAATGCCATAAAATCACCCCCAGCAAAGCCCCTTGGGAGGCACCGGCATCGCTCCCCCTCCAGCAACTTTTAACTGGGGCAAAACCACCCGAGTTTTATACATATTTTATAGATATATTTAATATTACAGTGATTTCCAGGCTCCCCCTCCCCCTGTTCACATCCCCCTCGTGCTTTCCTTTCGCATTTCTGAAAATTACGGCAGAAGCAGAAATTAAAAGGCACCTTTGCAACCAGAACCCCCCAAATCTCCCTGGTTTGGGGATAATAAATGGAGTTTTGCTACTTATTGAACTCCTCATTTTTATCCAATCCTTGTCTAAAAGTCAGTGCTGGGGTGGCTGAGTTTTACTACCCATTCCCCATAGAAAGCCTATTTTTAAAAAATATTCTTTCTTTATATCTTTATATAGTCTTTCTTTTCTATCTTTCTTTCCCATTAATAGGAATTTTAAAGATTTTAGGGATATAAAACCAATCTTTAAGGGGGAAGATGCTGCTTCTTCCCTCACCACCACGCTCTGGATACAAAATACTCTTGGAGTGGGATTGCTTCGAGCAAATAAAAGTATTCCCTGCTCCTGCTGAGTATCAAAATCAATTTTAAAAAAAATTTAAAAATTTTAAATGTTGATTAAAAAAGAAAAATTATTTTTTCATTAATTTTCCAAGCCACAATCCAACATAAACAATGGGGAAAAAAACAACTGTGAGGCTGTTGGATCCTTCCTAGAGGAGCCCAAATTATTGGGATGGCAGCAGAAGGGCTGGTTTTAAACTCGTGGGAAGGGAATTGATGGACTGGGCAGGATCCAGGCTCCTTCCCACCACTGTCACATTTAATTCCTGCCTTCGGAGAAACAGAAACAACCCCCCTGCCAGCACCTCCCATCGAGGAATTCCCTTCCCTGCTTCCCGTGGGGAGATGTCCCAGGCTTTTCCAGCCTGTTCCTTATCCAACTGTATTTACGTGCACATAAATATATTGATAAAATAGATCTATATTAAATTTTAATGGAAAAATCAAGCATTCCAGGTGAAGATGGGCGTGGAGGGAAGCACCTCCTCACATCCCTGTGACGCAGGAATGCCGAGGGATCAGAGCCAAGGGGAACTCAGGTTCCCTGACCCAAATAAACCCCAAATTCATTTAAATAACCAGGGGGGATTTTTACCATTTAACTCCCTGAAATCCCAGAATCTCTCCAAGACTCGACCACGACTATAAAAATTGGATTTAAACTGGGGGGGGGGGGAATAAACACAACCATGTGAGGCCCCGTTCCCGGCCAAAAATCACATTATAAAAAGAAAATCTATAATCTCCCCAGTCAAGGCACAGCCCGCCAAACTGGGTATATTAATATAAAGCAGAATAGATTTTTTTGGGACCGGGAATAAAAAGATATCATCTTAAATTAGATCTTGATAATAGGAGGAAACTTGGGAATAGAAAACTTGGAGCCAGCTGAAAACAGAGCAACGTAAAATAAACCTGTATTTATTTCTGGGCTGGTTAAATGTGTTTGTTTGTTTGTTTGTTTTTAATTTGAAAACTTGGAAAGAAGAGCAGGAGCCCCCGAGCTCCAACAGAGGATTTAAAGATGAATTCCTTGTTTACATCCCCTGCGTACATGGTAAAGGTCGAGCCCAGGCTCTGCACTATGGCCCCAAACTCCCAATTCCTGGCTCCATCCCTCTTCCAAAGTCACCAGCAGCCCAACTCGAGGCTCCAGCAGAGGTTTTAGTTTAGGAATATCACACCTGGGAATTTCCTGGGGGCTCTTTCGGGCGGTGTTTGGAAGGTGGAGAGCGTGTGATCCTTGCTGAAGACGAAATCCCACTCCGGCACACGTGATGCCGGGCACGAGCCGTTCCCCCCCCCTAAGCCTCAATTACACAACAGCATTTCCAACCCCCCCGTCATTCCCAAATTAATACCCCACCAGCAATCCCGGGCCAAATTCAGACCCCACCTCCCATCCCAGGCCAAACCCGCGCCGAGCGGCGGCAAATTATCCGCCCGGACCAGCCCCTGGGGTGTTTTTTCCTTCCTTTTATCCCTACACATGACGGGAGGGAGGGGGGGAATAAACCTCGGGATGAGGCTACGCAGCACAGTCCCGGGGTTTATTTTCCCTAGGAAACACATGTGCCCATCGCCCCGGCCTCGGGCACCTGATGGAAATAAGAGGGCGCGCTCCGACACGATGGATTAAATACGGGAATGCTCTGGGCTCGGAGGTTCTCCGGCTGGATAACGGGGGGATGAGGTGTTCGCAAAGGGGAAATCGATTAATTACCTACTAAAATAATACCCCTAAGGGCGCGGGTGGCTCCGCTGCTGGGAAAACCTCCATCCGCGCCGCGAAAAGTGCGGGGAAAAGGGGCATTTTTTGGTGTTTTCTTGCTAAATAAGAGGCTGTTTTCCATGGGAGCGGTGGGGAGCGTGGGGTGGGGGACACCCGCGGGGGTTCCCAGCCGTGGGAACGCGGCCGTGGGCCGGGAGCTCCTCTCCCCTCTCCCCGCGCTGCGCTCCGGAGCGAAAGTAAAACCGACGGGGCTCTCCCCCCATCCCCCGCACCCCTGTTCCTGGAGCTCCCGGCGCGCCCCCTGTCCCGCTGGGACGGAGGATGGGGTGGAGGGGGCTGCAGGGTGACGACGCGGGGTTACCTGAGCTTTTTGGGCACCGAATAATCCACTTCCATCACTTTGCCGTGCAGCTCCACTTTCCCTGCGGAGACAGCGGGGCGCTCAGCATCCCCCCGGGATGGGGGAGGGCGGCATCCCCCCCGCCAAATCCCAGCCCTCCCCATCCCACCCCATCGCATCCCACCGCGTCCCGCCCCCCCGCGCCCCCCGGGCTCTCCTCGCGCCCCCCGCCCCCCCCGGGCCCCCCGGGCCCCCCCGCTCGGCGCCCCCGGGGAGTTGGGCTTGGGCACCTCGTACGCGGGTCCCCGGGGGGCTGCGGGGGCCGGGGGGGCGGCGGGGCCGGGGGCACCGCGCCCGGGGGGCTCCCAATAAAATCGGACAAAAAAATCAGCGAAAAATAGAGGCGAGGCTGGGAAGAGCCGGGGCGGGAGGAGGGAGGGAAGGAGGGAAAGGAGGGAGGGAAGGGGGGACCGGGGGATGCCCGGGGAGGGGGCGGCGGGGCGGGGGGACGCGGGGGGGATGCGAGGGGCGCGGGGCGGGGGTCGCTCACCCGAGAGGGTCTCGATGGCCCGGATGGCCCAGTTTTGGTCCGGGTAATCCACGAAGGCGTAGCCGGACTTGAGGAGGACCTGGCCGGGCAGGGGCAGCTGCCGCTCCCCGAAGAGCTGCCGGAGGTCCTGGGCGGTGGCGGCGGGGCTCAGGTTGCCGATGTACAGCTGGTTCATCCTCCGGCGCCTCATCAGGAGCCCCTCGGGCTCCTCCCCGGGAGCCCCCCCGGCTCCTCCCCTGCCGGGAGCGGGACGGACGCGGGCACGGGAGGGTCCCGCTCTGCGCCACCGGCCCCGGCCCGGCGGAGCCTCCGAGAGCGGCGGGCGGAGCCCGGCCCGGCCCGGCCCCGGGGCCGCCCCGCGGGGGGGCAGGTGGGCAGGGGGGGCCCGGGGGGACTCGGCCCTGCGCCCCCACAGCCCTTCTGTCCCGGAACCCACCGCACCGCAGCACCCCCAAACCAGCTCCCTCCATCACCCCCAAACCACCGCACCCCGTGAGCCCAACCCACCTCAGCCCATCACCCCAAACCCTCCCCTGCCCCAGGACCCACCACGCCCCCAAACCCCCAAACCACCGCACCCTGTCACCCCCAAACCCTCCGCTGCCCTGGAACCCACCACACTCCAGCACCCCCTGACCCCTCTGCCCCAGAACCCACCACACCCCAGCGCCCCCAACCCCTCTGTCCTGGAACCCACCACACCCCAGCAGCCCGGACTCCATCACCTCCGATCCCATCGCCTCCAAACCCAGCACCCCCACCCCCTCCTTCTGCTCGGGGACCCACCACACCCCAGCGCCCCCAGCCCCTCTGCCCCAGAACACCCCACACCCTGTCATCACCCCAAACCCTCTGCCGTGCATCCCACCGCCCCCATCACCCTGACCCCATTACCTCCAATCCCTCTGCTCTGGAACTCGCCACACCCCAACACCCCCAAACCCTCTCCCTTGGATCCCACCACACCCCATCACCCCGACCCCTCTGTCCCTGGACCCACTGCAGCCCACCACCCCCAAAACCTCCTCTGCCCTGGCACCCACCACATCCCAGCATCCCCAACTCCCTCACCCCCCAACTCTCCTCTGCCCTGGAACCTGGTGACATCCCAGCACCCCCAACCCTCTGCACCCCATCACTCCTGACCCTTCAAGAGTTCCTTCAGGGACAGGAGAGACAGGGAAACTGTTTTGCTCAGGAACCAAGGTAAAAAAATAAATAAGAAATAAATTCTAATATATATATATATATATAAAATAAAATGTAATAAATTAATAAATAGAAGATATCATTAAATATTAATTTTTTAAAAAGTAAATAAATGCTCTTTTTAGGAAAAACAGAGTGTGCAAACGCTTCCCAACCCAGATTCGACTGGGCATTGCTGTGTGTGAGCCCGTTGTCCAAAAGGCTCCAGGAGATGCCAAACCAGTGCCAGACACTGGAGCACCGAGCTGGGCACGTTCTCAGCCCGCTGGGAAACAGCTCCTGCAGCCTCTGGGGTGTGTGGCTCTGCTGGAGGGTGTCCTCAGGTGACCAGGAGCTGCTGTCACCACCTGCCAGCAGGTTAAATGACATTTTCCTCTCTCCTTTTTAGAATAAAAGCCAAATCCCTATGGAAGTGCATCCAAGCTGTGATCAGAGACTGGAGTAAGGTGCACGATAATACTGGCTGGGGGGGTGACAAGTGGTCTTGTGTCCCAGGGACAGTTGTCCCTTGCTGGGGTGGGGGGTGAAGGGCAGCAACCTGAATTCCCTGGATTTTAAGGCAATTAAAGGACAATTAAACCATCCCTCTGCCACTCTTCCCCTGGCACAGGGAGATGGATGGAGTAGGAATAGCGGTGACGGGAGCTCGATGCCATGCCTACAGCAAAAATAGATGTGGTTGGGCTGTGATGATGCAAAGCCAGAAGAATCCTTCTCCTCCGATTTCCCCGGCTTTGCTTTCAGGCGGCTCCTGCCTGGCTGTCATTTGTCACTGGCGCCAGGGGCTCCCCCAGCCCCAGCACGTTTTTGGGGTGATTCTAGGCTGAAATGGGACATTAATGTCCTTTTCAAAGATCTGACCCTCAATCAGGTCATTCCTTCCTCCTCAGGGATGAGCTATCGACAGGAACGGGGCAGGGAGCTGCCGGTTCATCGCGTGAGGTCACTGCCACTGGGAAGCAGCAGGACAAACACGAGGCTTCAGGATTAATTAGTGCCCACGGGATCCAATACTTACTTGTGACTCCTCACTCCAGCTTCTGGAGCTGGATGTATCGGAGGAGTCTCCTGCAGGCACCGGCATGAGCTCATCCCTCCTGCCCCGGAGTTTGGGCTGTGCAGAAAGAGCTCAACAACCTTCCCCAGAGGTTTTCCCAAACCTACGGAGCTGGTGCTCTCTTCCCCGGAGTTTTGGGGGATCTATCTTGCTCTGATTGTGATGCTCAAGGGGAGTTTGTGCTTCGGGGAGGAAGATTTCAGAGCACTGCTACAAATGGTCCTAAAAGCAGTGCAGGATCCAGCAGGAAAGGGAAAGGCATCTTCCGAGGGCAGCCCTGCAGGAGAGATCATTCCTCTCTGGAAAGGGACACTGGCATGGAACGAGTCCGGAATGTGGCAGCGAGACCGATAAAATGGGCAGAAAAACACAAGAGGTTGAAGGAGGATTTGTTTAGTCTGGAGAAGGGCAGGATAACCTGGTCCCTGTGAAGGGCTGCCTTGAAAAAAGAGAAAATAGGAAAAAAATGGAGTGTTTGGTTGATCGGACACGGGAAGAGAAGGAGGTGCCATTCCTCGGCTGGAGGTTGGACAAACATCTGGGACTCCCACATCCACCCCGGGGCTGCCCCGAGGGATTCCTGAATCTCCTCCAAGCTCTGGCTGGCCCACAGCTCCATTTTATCCCAAGCCTTTGGAAAGCCTGTCTCAGAGCAAGCAGGTTGGGATCCATGAGGTTTCATCCCCCTTTTCTGGTGGACTGGTCTTACTGGGACACACACTCAGGGCATTGGTTGGGCTCCTGTTAATGGATGATTTTGGGGAGGTCCTGGCTGGGGCACCTGTGTTGGATCCCTCCATGGATCCCACTCCCACAGAGGATGTTGGGAACAGGACAGAGAAGGGACAGAGTGGGGACAGAGGATCCTGCGTGGAGCCAGCAGGAAGGATGTGGTGGCTCCAGAAGTTACCCCAGAAGGCTGTGGTTATCCAGCAGGAAAAGCTCAGTGACCTGGCTCAGGAGGAACCCGCCTCAGCTCTCTGATATATTTTCCCTGAATCCTTAAGGATATTTTTCACTCATTCATCACACAGAGAATCTCAGGAGAGCTTCATCCCACCCTTGTCCTGTCGGGATTGAGAACAAGGTGGGATACAGCTGCTCATTGCTCCATGGGGCTGCAGAGACTATGCAGGACAGGCAATACCTAAAAAAACTCCCAGTAAACCCTGTCCTAAAAATTAACCCTTTTCCTTTCCAAAAGGGCTCGGTTTATTTTCCCAAGTGTGTTCCAGAGGTGACTCCGTGTGCCATGACATGGAGTGGGAGCAGAGTGTGCTGCCGGAGCGGCTCCTACCTGCCCTTCACCACCCTGAGCAAGGCACGAGGCAGATCCCAAATTCCCACTAATATGGTGGTGAACTGTCTGGAATGTGTGTTTTGGTTTTTGGAAACCTCGCAGCGAGCGAACGGCGCAGCTGCTGCAGAGGTGAGGGAAGAGCACCAAGGACTGGGATGGACGCAGCCCACTTCGGGAGGTGGGATTATCCCTCAGGAACGGCGGAACTGGGAAAACAATTCACAATTTGGTTGGAAAACACATCCATGATTTTCAAGCCCTTTGGGAATCGTTTTACTCACCCTTTGCTGGGACATGAGTGAAAATCTTCCGACTACTCACTGGATTTTGGAAGTTTCCGGGTCTGTAACAGTCGGGAATGCCGAGGTGGAGGCACTGCCATGGCTGGGTCATTAAATTAAGGACTGGGACTGTGTTAATTACACCTGCACAGGGGCCGAGTGCGAGCGAGACAGAACTATGGGAATGATGGACAGGATCAGGAGCTCCTTCCCAACAGGCTCTAAGTTGTGCTGACTCTCTCAAGGGGACCTGCAAGGTATGGATGTGTGGGACCAAGGTGGTGGAGCGAAAGCCAGAGATGGATACCTAGGAATGCCCTGTGGAGTTGGACCCTTTGTATCCAAGCAGGAAAATTAAAGGATCAGCTTCTTGCAGCTCCAAAGCAGCTCTGTTGGGATGGGAGCATTTGCCTTGCGTGTGATGGATTTGCTGGAGCCGAAACATGAGCTGCAAAATAAATCCCTTGAACCCAAACGAAGGAGCTGCAAGGAAAAATGGGATTTTTAGACCCACAACTGCCCTGATGCTCCACAGCTCCCTTGAGCTGCATGATCCTGACAGGGATCCTCATTTCCAGGGAAAGTGAGGAGGTGCCACAGGGCTGCACAGGGACAGGAGCATCTCTCGTGCTGGGAGAGGCCCAAACTGCTCCAGAGGAAATTCCACCTGCACATGTGGAGAGAAACCAGTGGCACAAACATCTCCTGGTTTCCTTTTTACCCTCCACATGCTCTGTAGGTTTGTATTTGTCCTGCTCCTGACGGGAAAGCGGGTCAGGAAAGGGCACAGCCTGTCACTTCCAGCCAGCAGATGCTGCTCTGGCAGAGGATTCCTCCCTGCCCTGGGGGGATCCAGGCTGGGGGTCAGGATACACTCAGCCCCCTCCCCACGGATAATTCCTGCCTGGCTCCCGGCGGAGCCCAGGACACCCAGCCGTGGTTTCCAGCTCATCACATACCACAGCAGCCTGTCAGCACGTCACGGGGCAACACTACACCCAGGAGCGGCTGACGGGGCTCATCCTGCACACGGAGCCCTTGGGATGATTCAGCAGCAGGAAGCACTGCACAAAAGGCTCTGCCTGTGGCCAGGCTGCAGCAGCTGCTTCCCAAAGCCCAGGAACAGCTTTAACGCGGATTTTGGGGTGCACCTCAGCACTGCCTCCCATGGACACAACCACGAGTTCTCCTGGCTTGTCTTCATCCAGATCCAAGCCTTCCCTGGCCTTCAGGACAAGGACACTGAGGGGCTGGAGCGTGTCCAGAGAAGGGTCTGGAGCAGCAGGAGCAGCTGAGGGAGCTGGGGGGGCTCAGCCTGGAGAAAAGGAGGCTCAGGGGGGACCTTGTGGCTCTGCAACCCCCTGACAGGAGGGGGGAGCCCGGGGGGGGTTGGGCTCTGCTCCCAGGGAACA